CTGTTATGGTCAATTGACACCTGTCAAAACAGGGCATCCGCTGACCCGTATCACGTGACCATGTATTGCAGACTCGAGTTTATAGCTCATCGAAGCCTCATGTTTCTTTTTTAAAGTTGACCGCTAAACAAGTGCTGGTTTTCGGTTGGATCGCGGGCTCATGTCAGGTGAACTTGTTGTAAACGGGGCCAGGTTGTTCGGACGCCGGTTAATCTAACCCAGGATTAAAAGTTAAACAAAGTATAGATTTTTCTTGTATAAAAATGTTTTTCAATGCTTTTGTTTTGTGTAGTTTGAGATAATTCAAACTCAAAACAGAAGGCCAAACAATATACAGAAAATACAAAACTCTAATCAAAATTCTTGCTTATCCTGGGTTAGCTTAACCGGGCCCAGGAGCTCCGCTTTTAGGCTTGGCTAAATCTATATATTAAGAAGTACAGCTTCCAGCACGCGCTTTTGTACAGGGTGTTTTCTAATTTAACTTATTCTCTTACAGGCACAGACCGCACTCTGATATTTGTAGAGTTAAAACGCGTAGCAGACTTCTTGGCATGCCTTTTGTCACAAAACAACTTTCCAACTACAAGTATTAGCGGGTAAGTTTTCTACTCTGCTAAAGAAAGACGAACACCACAGTTGATCAATACAAGTTTTTATGTTTTCTAGAGATCAGGATAGCCATTAATTTTAGTCATTTGTTTTCATTGATAGAGTACAGGCAGAGTGATTTCTATCTTATTGTAATTGTTTCAGTGCACACCTTTGAGTGTCTGCCAGTTTTGAAACAAGATGAAATGTGGAGTTGGTGTTGTCTCGTAGTCGCTTGTGGGACCGTTACTAGGGACAATATTTAGCTCTTAATAACCGAGCAGGAGGTCTGTATGGGAGAATCTTGACCGAGGTCNACTTAGCTCGGTTAATAAGATGTTTATTATATGGCAAAGAAGAAAACTTTAATTCGTTTAATGTAACTAGCTTGCTGACATTTTGCCTGCGAACGGCGATGAGTTAACTTAAACCTGCCGTCATCAGACTTTTTGGCACTTTCATAAATGATTGAGAAGAAAATAAAAGAAAATGGTGTACATTTTTGTATTTTAGTTTGTTACTTTTTCAACGCAGAATGAAACCGGACTAGATGCCGGTCTAGATGGGAAAATCTAGACCGCGGTCAATATCGATTTCAGCCAATCAAATTCGTGAATTCACTGGTTCCCAGTCCTTGTGAGACAGCCATATAATAAGGCTTGTTATTATATGGCTAGCTCCATGAGCGGGCGAGATGAATCAAATCCTGCGCTCTGATTGACACGCTCTGATTAACACGCAAAAAAAGAACTCTGCCAATATCCAGTCATCTTTGACCTCACACTTGGTCAATAACCCATGTTTATCTTTTCCTTAGTCCCCAGTAATTAAGGGTCCCATAAGAAACTGCGAGATGAGACTCGGCCCAGGTTTCTCTCTTTTAAAGTGGCTAATTGCCAAAGTAAAAACGTGGTTAAGTTAATGGCTATGTGTTAACAGGGACAGAACGCAACAGGAGCGTGAAGCTGCACTGCGGGACTTCAGGAGTGGTCGAGCACCTGTACTTGTGGCAACATCTGTGGCGGCACGAGGTCTAGACATCCCGGATGTGAAGCATGTGATCAACTTTGACCTTCCTCAGGACATAGAGGAATATGTGCATCGCATTGGTCGCACTGGTCGAATTGGCAACAAGGGAACAGCTACTTCTTTTTTTCAACCGGGAAAAGATGAAAGGCTTGCACGCAGTTTAGTTAAAGTGTTGTCTGAGGTAGAGATATTTCTTAACATGTCAGTTATCTATTCAAAGAATAAAGAGGGCAACAAGCTTGGACACTAAGATGAAGACCCAATGAATTGACTACTTTGTCGGGTATACATTCGCTTTGCCCCCCGTAGTTTTGTCAGGGGTTTTAAGGAAAGCAGGTCATTTAGGTATACTGCCAGATGCTCTCCATTCCATGACATATCCCGGACGAATGAAACATTTTTCGGGATTTCCGGAACAGAGGTATACACAAATTTTGGGACATTTGTTACCGCGAAGCTTACCGGCTGTGGATTTCAATAATACAAAGACCTAGAGCTGACCTCCGCTGAAGAGGTTTTCACTTTAATTGATATTTTGATGTACGTTTATCACAGGCATACCAGGAAGTTCCTGAGTGGCTAGAACAAGTAGCAGAAGAAGCAATTGGATCATCATATGGCCCTGCCGGTGGCAAATTTGCATCCAAAGACAGGAGAGAGGTATTGTTATATGGCTGTTATCTAGAACAAAGTCAGAATGTCTTTGTAAAGGTAATTGAATGAATACAATTCTCATTACTAGTGTGATCCTTAATTGCTCACTAGACTCTCATGCGATTTATTATTTATTTATTTATATATTTATTTATTTATTTATTTATTTATATATTATTTACTATATGTAGCTGATTGCAATTTAAAAATTAACGATAAATTTACCCGCTCTCAGCCAGTCACAATGAATTAATTTTCCCACTCGTGTCAAATGTTGTTGAAGTTATCAGATTAGACATTATGGCAAAACCAATAACTTACAAGTGATTTACAAAACCCTTCTTTGACTGGTAAAACTATTTTTTTTTATCTATATACATATGATAAAATGTTTTTTGTTTGTACAATGAAAGGGCATTTCAAGTTACTTCGGTTTCCAAAAGGGTTTATGATACCTTGGCGTTTCCCGACTGTTTCTTTGTAGATTTACTACATGTAGATTTGATTATTCGAGTGACTTAATGTAGGCCTTCTGACCTGGCTGGATGAAGTGGAAAGGTGTTTAGAACTGTGCAACATAAATTAAAAGAACGAATGATGAAATGAAATTATGAGTGGTCCATCAGCATTTTCCGTATCGAAAAATTCGAACCAATGAGATTTCTTTTTTTATGGACCGATTGTGCCATGTAATGAACCACTAGATTTTCTTTCCACAGTGTTCGAAGTTTATTACTCTATAACTAGCGTAATTATATAAACTAGCATTCTTATTTTCTGATAGCGTTGACAGTTGTAGTTTCTTAATTATTTCTGTAGAGGGAACACTTTAGAGCAAGTGGGTCCGCAGATGTCATGGGACCTGTCAACAGAGGCATGGCGCGACTTGATGTTAATGCAGCTCGTAACCAGCCTCATCCCGGCCAGAACAACTCGAACAACGAGGACGAAGAGGAATGGGACTAACTAAGACTCTTGCTAATATCAAAATACTGAAAATCGCCTGAATGGATCCTGGCGTGTTTTGTTATTGTTTTATTACAAATGCGAGAAGTACTCGATTGTTGCTATTGTTTTATTAGCTTCAATTTTTCTTTGGGCGCTTGAGAAAGATCGTTACGTTATGTTATGTTGTAGTAAAGTTTTATGGTAAAGAAGTTGTGCAATGTTAGAGGGATTTTTCAACATGTGTTTATAATGTTTCCAAATAATAAAATGTGCGACTAATCCAACAGGTGTCAAACAAGAAGCTTATAAGGATGCATTAAACCGCGCGGTGAAATTTAAAAGTAAATTAGCTCGAATCGAAAAAAAAACAAAAAACAGTCATTTGCCTCAGCCTTCAGCTTCGGCAAATAATCGATCTGTTCGCCACTAACAAATCACGATATTTGACTCGACCTCGTCCAATAATTGTTGAATATTTGAATTTTTTCACGGACGGTTTTATTTAAAGCCAATTAACGGATTGTATTTATATTTTTTGTCTGTCTGTCTGCCTGCCTGCCTGCCTGCCAACCTGCCTAGTGTCTGTCTGTCCGTCTCTGGCTGTTTGTTGGTGGTCCGTCAGTTTTTCAGTCAAGCGGTCCTTTAGTATGTCTGGATTTCTGTGTGTCTATCTGCCTGCCTGCCTGTCTCTGGCTTTCTGTCTAATAATTTTGTGATATTTGTAATTTTATTTTAAAGTGTTCTGTCATTAGGACGGTTTTCTTGCAAATCGTTAGTCTGCATAGCAGGCGTTAAACGGGGGAGGGGGAGGGGGAGGTAAAGTGCGGATAGAAGGAGGGGGACTGGATTCCTTCCCCTGTTTTCCTCTGTTTCTTTGCCTCCTTAATGAAGGCTAGCAAATTAGCCGGCCGTGTTGAAATCGGTCCTTGTCCATCTGTCTGACTGTCTTTTTCATTGTGAATCTCCTCGGACGCTGAGGACTCGGTTCACAATCTGGCTAGAGACGAGTCTCGCACTCAAAATTACTTGCTTCTTCCTGGATTCGATGCCCTGTTTGACGCGTGGTACATTTACTTACAACAGGCGCCCTCTTGCTGTCTTGCCATCTTGCCCCCCTGCATAGAATCCGATAAAACTCGCGGCGATAATTCCCTGAGAATATCACATAAAGAACTGGATTAATAGCGCTGTTACAGTAACCAAACAAGGGGACGATAAAATGGACGTCTATTGGAATTTCTAGCGAAAGGCTTCGCTTGTGAACTTTTATCATCTCCAAAGCTTGTAAAGGAAGCCACGACAGAGCCAGAATGACAGTCACTGTGATCAACATTGCAGTCGCTCGTCTGCTCGAGGCTTGGACTTTATTGTGTGCTGTCTGATTTTGATGTCCAGGTAGTTTTCTGCGGCAAAGACGTAACCCAGCGAGGCAGTAGACTAGAGCAATGATTATCAGTGGAACGATGTAAGAAGCAACGAAAACAACTGTAACGTAGACTTTTGTTGACATCGGCTTCCAAAATTCGTCGCAAATCATACCATCTCCCTCCCACTGTTTATTCTTGGTGGCTATCATAATTGGAAGCATTAACGCCAGTGCACCTAGCCACGTCGTGGCGATCGCGAAACGAACAACGCTTCGAGTCATTATTTTTTTCATGGGAAATAGGACGGCAAAACTGCGATCGAGGGAAATCACCACCAGACTGAACACTGAGGCTGCAAGGGATCCTATCTGTAAAGAGTGCAAGAACTTGCATAACACAGTGCCCATGAACGTGCTAAACCATTTATTTAGCATGTAGTACCATTTGATCATGTACGGGATATCTATGGTCATAAGAAGATCGGCAAAGGCCATGTTGGCGATAAGAGTGTTTGTTGAGCTACGCATGTGGTTTACTGTAAACACGATGTAAATCACCAGAGTATTACCGATCATTCCGAGGATGAAAACAATTACGGCAAGGATTGTGACTCCGATCTGAATGTTACGAGGGACCAGGAATGTCCCATGGTACGCTGAGGTGGTATTATTCGTCATGTTATGAAACATAGAAGATCCTGATGATAGAAAGAGTAAGCATCAGGGCTTTTGCTTGTTTGTGTTGAACAAAAGGACATAAAGTGAAAGCCTTTTCAGACAAGTTATGGAGTTGTTACATTCTGTGGGATTTAGTTAAAAAGCAGACTCAAGTTGAGGTCTGTTTTTCTCTCTAATTATAGAGCGAAGAGCGCGCTCCTCGCCCCCAGGATTTCGCGCGGCCATTTTTTTCTCGCGGTTTTCTTTCGCGTCACGCGCGAGGGACTACTCGTAGTCTAGTTTGGCTTTTATTTTCACCTCTCATAACAGGGCGGAGTTCCACAATTTTGCCGTCGCACCATAAAACACCTAAAAATGTATTGTTAATTTTCACTTAAAACTCCACCTATTCATAAAACCATTTTTTGAACGTCCAGTGTTTATTTTAAGAAGCTGGCTGCGATTACATCTTGGTAAAAGCAGCCAGAAGTATACCACCCTTCTAATTGCTCACCAATTACAGCAGAAAACTCATCTACATCGCCTTCCTGGGTGTGATTTCAGGAACAAGAAACGATGGATGTAACTCGCATAAATCGGCACGCCGTTCTAGCAGATTATTACCAGGCACGAAGTTTATAAGGAAATCTTAAGACGAAATCCGATAGGAAATCGAGTAATTTCAGTTTTTTTAAATGGACAAAAACCTTGCACCAGAATAATTTTAGGTATTTTACAGTTCTTTTTAAATTTTCTTAAAGCTTAAGTTGTAAACAATTGCTTAAAATAACACCGAAAACAATTTCCTATGGGAACTCAAGAAAATAAATTTCAAAGCTCAGAGAAATCGTGCCAACACAGGAACAATTTCATCATCGGTTTCATTTCACCAGTACTTCAAGTCTTTCGTAAGGTGGTGTTAGAAATGAATTTTTCTTTTTGGAAAATATTTAAAACAGTCGCTCAGACGTTTGCAATACGATGTAAATAACCGTGGTACAAATTTTTGTCCACTTGTTACTCTGGTGGATTCCTTCTTAAATTGAACCTGGGAAAGTAAAGAAATATCACAAAACTCTCGATTGCCGTGTGTTAGGAAAAGAATTGCAATACGGGGATGAAGTGATAGCTAAAACAATTCCTGAATGTTCGATTTTAACTTCTTCGCCTAACCTTAGGCAGAATTAATTTCATGTGACCTTGGTTGCTAGTGAAGGGAAGAGAAAAGAAAAACTCTTTTAATCTTGCATTTCACTTACCTTGGTCTACCGTTGTGTTCATTCTCGTCCGCTTCACAAAGAAACACCTTGAAATTATGCAAGCGACAAAAAGTTCCGGTCCAAGAGAAAAGTGAACTCGTAAATTGAAGAATTTGGACAGATGCCTGCTCTAACATAAGATCGAACAGAGGATGAAAGCAGATGGTAAACTGCAGAAAAAGTTTTTCGAAGCCAGTCAAACGTTAGCAGTCATCCTCCCAGGAGCGCGTTTCATGGCACGAGTTTACCAATGGGAGCTACCTAGATGACAGGTTAAAGAAAGGAAAATGATAGCAGTAAAATTAAAATGCTTACAGATGGCAGACTACAGGAAGCCCAACCTCATTTTAGAAGCCCAGTTGCTTTAAACGATTAGCATTCCTGGTGCTTCAACTAATCTCTTTCCATTTTATTCCCAGGTCAAATTCTTCATTTTTATTCCTGACTTTTAGACTCATTTTAAACAAGCTAAAAGATTTGCCTGCTTTCAGAGCAGCTGGCGGTGTTTTCTTGAGCCGAACTTAATACCTTGAATCAAATACCTGAACTGTTCGTTGTCTAAAACAAGGGCAGCCACGGATCGTTTCGCTAATTAATCTGTTCGGAAGGCCTTTAATCCCCCCCCCCCCCCCGATTTTCTTAAAAGAATTGTCCCCTCGAACTTTCGTGAAATGGGAAATTAAATATAACGCCCGGATTGATAAAAATGTCGTTTTGGGTACCAAAGAAAGACCAGGTATGATTTTCGGAAGGGCAACAGCTGCTAAGTTTTTTGGGAAATGGAAAAAGGGGATTAATTCAAAAAGATCCAAGTTCCCCCAGACAAAAAGGTTCAGGTCAAAGACTCGAGCGTTATTTTCCCCTAGAATTAACGGACATGCAAATTTATGTATTCATAGCCAGCGCAGACTAAAATTAACCTATAGGGCTTTAAAAAGCTCTCAAGTGTATTTAGTTGAGAGAAAACCGTCGTTGGGGGCTCTTGTTGAGGCAAGGTGGGCTTTTCGGCTTTGAATCAGCTGTAAATTAGCCACGAAACTTTGCATGTGCCGAACCTAGTGCATAAATTATTAACGCATTTGACAAGTAAACTCTTTTTTCACTTTTTGAAAACAGTATTTTGACACAGTTTCCGTCCGGCTAATTGATTGATTTCAGCGCCTGAATCAACAGGCGCACATTTGTTAGTTTGCGTTGGCCACAATTAGAATTAAGTTTAGGTCGGGAAACGACATTCCGCGTCTAAACTACTTAGTCTCTTATAAGTAAAACAGAAACTAGACCACACATGTATCACATGTATTTAGACGTTCGTTTAAGTGTCACGGTCTATTTAAGGTAAAATCGAATCCTGGACTGTCGATCAACTCTCAAGTGACTACTCGACAAGGGACGGGAATTTTCTTTGATCTACAGCGTATATACTCATATTTAAGGCGGCCGAACACAGTTTTTGCACGCGCTTTTGCTGATGCGATTCAGCGCGCGCACAAGGATTGCAAAAAAACCGGCAAACATGCCGTCAATAGAGCGATCACTTTATTTGTCCAATGCCCGCATTATCTGTGCTATTTTTCTCTATAATTGAACGCAGTGTATTGACCGTTTTAATCTTTTATTGCAAAGATATGTTACAAAAGGTAACGATGCAAAGAACCCAGCAATTCTCAGCTTTTTCATTGTTACCGAAAGAACCCAATTAAATGCAGCGCATGCGTAGTAAATCAAAAAATTGCGACTGAATGAAAAATTGCTTTCTCGGAAATACGCCTTTTTCTCGAGAACCACTCATTAGAATTTCACGAAATTTGGCACAAAAATACTTTAGGCCGTTGCCGTTGTGGAGAGGTGGCCGTTGTAGAGAGGTTAAAATAAGAGTGAATGTATGGACTATCCGCCGGGACAAAAAAAGTTGCCGTTGAAGAGAGGTGACCGCTAGTGGATGTTCGACTGTAACATTATGCGTTTCCATGCAAAGTTTTTGGTCAAGTGTATTCTTGATGTTTTCGCAGTCGAACTGCATGGCTTCATGTTAGTCCTAGCTTGACTTTTTTTTGCGAACTTTTCAAACATCGAGTGAAGATATTGTTTCCCGACTAAGTTAGTAGACATACAATAATAAGAAAAGAGATGCCGAAGCAGAGTCAATGTTTTTGGTAAATACCGTTAACTGCCGCTTTTAAGCCCATCCACTGAGTTGTAGGCCCATCTACCTGTAAACCAAATAAAAACAAAAAAAATTATTTCGATCAACATATGCAGCTATAGCTCATTTCGAAACGGTTTTTTTTTTATTTTACGGTAGCTTGCTAAAGTTTGATCATGACTGTTACTCATGAACTCAACTTTATGGTATGGTATCGTATAAAGCGTATTGAAATGGATTCAAACATTTTCAAAAGTAATGCACATCGGTATCTGGAAACTCGCAAAGACGATGTTTGCAGGGAAAACTCATTGAAAGAAGGCTTGTTTTTACTTTACTTTATCCCTTCAAAAAAAAAAAATGCGATCTATTTTCATTATAAAAATGCAGGAGCTCATCACCAGGGATGTGCAATTATCCGTGAGCGGGCAAGATGAATCAAATCCTGTGCTGTGATTGGCTACCCGAGCAGGCAAGATGGAGCTCTCTTGCCCGCTCGGGACTACCCGTCGTGTCCCGCAAGATAAATTTCCCCGAAAAACCATATAATAAATCCTTTATTGACCATGCTTGTTCGGTCAAGATGACTTGATATTGGCCTCGTTCTTTTTNCAAGATAAATTTCCCCGAAAAGCCATATAATAAATCCTTTATTGACCATGCTTGTTCGGTCAAGATGACTTGATATTGGCCTCGTTCTTTTTTTTGCGAGTTTATGGACCTCGACTCCGCCTTGGTCCATAAACACGCAAAAAAAGAACTTGGCCAATATCCAGCCATCTTGACCTCACACTTGGTCAATAACCCATACATATTCTTGTCACGGCGTTTTCTCAGATCGATCTATTTTTAGTTTGAATGTGCCGCGAATTCAGACCCCTGCAGGAACCTCAGTGACCAATCACAAGCACGGACTTAAATGACGTCATCGTTTCACCGGAAGATTAAAAAGAAAAACAACTTACCGATCGCAACTGACCTGTTTCGCGGGAAAAGAATCCTAAAAATAGACCGGTCTGTAAAAATGCCGAGACATGGGAATTGCACGCCCTTATAGTGATGGGCTCCTGAAAAATGTCAATAACTTAAATTTACTTACCTTCGAAGGTTTCTATTAAACCTTCTAGGCCCTTTTGTATTAACCCACGGCGCTGCTCTATTGCGGTCCTCTATTGCTCTTATGTGTCGCTCTTGATCTTATGCTCCTCTTTTCCCCAACTCTCCCGGCTTAATCTCACAAAAGACTGGGGATGAGTTTGCGGTCGTTCACAGGAGATGTGGTCGATCACAGACGTTTAGTAAATAGTACTCTAAATTTTTTTCGGTTTAATAATGCCGCTTTTTAAGAAAGGAGGAGCAAACTTCAGCGATTCTCGTAAAGGTGATGGAGATAAGAAACAATCAAGTAATCGATTTTCTGGTGTTGGAGCGGATAACAGTTCACATAAAAACACAGTTACACAGCCTCCTGTTCAAATCCCGGCGCAGCAGCAGACTTCCAATTCAAATGCTTCGAGAATCCCTCCTCAGCCACAACCCGAGTTAAGACAGCAACCAGCACCACCTCCTCCTCCTCCTAAGTTTGTATTTTATTGTCAGTTGGCCCATGGAAGCCCTACTGGAAAAGTGGAAGGGTTTACTAATGTAAAGGAACTCTACCAGAAACTCGGGGAAGTATTCAAAATTCAAGCTAATGAGGTTAGTGAACCAACTAAGCTTAAGCTTATATCTAACATTAGCCCTCTTACTGTATTAATACATATAAGCTTAATATCAGTAGGATTCTGATAAAACTGATGCTTGAGACAGCTGTTTCTTTTCTGCGGAGAGATTCAATTACCTTAACTTTAGAGGTGGCTTCTTTGTTACAACTGATGACGGACTGTCTCGATATCATTGTTGCATTAGCTTAATCTTATTTGGAACTTAAGCAATAAGTTAAGGTCATGTTCATGCATGTCCTGCAAGCTGAATTAGATTTTGTAAGTTACGGTTTGTATTTTTAGTTACCTATCTTTTAGACCTTTTAGCATTAGGATTTGATTCTTGTTTAAAATTAACTCTTTCAAGTAAGTCCAATTTATTAGGTTAAATGGTTTTCTTATTATACAATGCAATACAATAAAATCAAAATTTATTATGTAAGAAAACATAAAAGGAAACGTCAGAGGTTATCCCTATCGAGGACATTCCCCCCTAAAAAAGAATTAATATTCACAATCTAAGGGTGAAAACATCAGAGAATAAAATTAAAAATACAATTCAAAGCTAAGAGACTTACATGTATATTAAAGAGCCTTCTCAGTTTATCTCTAAAAATGTTAAAATCATTCGCTTCTGCCAAATCCTTAGGGATCTCATTCTACTCTTTAATAAAATAAATTCTGATGAAAACCAAGTGCTTGCTATGTAAACAAATAATAATGTTATGTAGTAAGGATGGCTACATCATTGTTTCCTGGTATAACCTTACATAGGATTGTAGTCACATCAAACATTGTATTAGATGTGTACCGTGCTGAGCAAGTTAATACTTATATTAATTTTATGTATTCATTACAGTTCATGGCTGGTAAAAAATATACATAAAAAGAAATGTAAAATGCTTATATATATACCGGTATATAAAAACTGAAGGGAAAAAATTATCAAATTATTAAAAGTAGCCATTGGAGGCTTGATAGAGTCCAAGACCTCATACTGGTTGAGTTTCATTTGCCTTAATGAGTTATTAACTTATTCATGTAGGAAATGTATGGTGGACTGCATAAGAAGCCAGTTGCTAGGCAACTGCATTTCATGTACACCACACATATATATGTACCTGCCTACTGAGACTACACGACTCTTATGCCTAAAGTGCAAGATTTATAACTGCAAAGTGGGTGGGTGGTAACAGAAACCTAGTGGACTGATAATTATTACTCTGGTTCCAGAGGTTTTCTCTTTTCTGTTTCTCAGTCAAATGTAAGCTGGGAAGTGGGGAAAATGAGTCACTTCACGACTATGGAGAGAAACTTCCCATTTGCTCTGACTAATGATTGTGACAGCTTTGTTGCTTCAGAGGCAGAAGAAAGAAAGAAAACTTCTGGTTCCATGGTTGAGGAGTATTAAGTTCCTCTGCAATGCTAAAGCAGATCATCTTTAGTCATCATCATGGGTAAACTACGAGTAGGTAGAAGGGGGGTTGGGGGCAGTGGTGAAATGCTTTAAGATCAACTGGAGACTTATGAACAGGTAGTGAAAGTGACAGAATCCTCTCATCCACAATGGTGTGTTTTACCGTTATTATTGATCTTTGCTATTTGCAATTGTTCATATTAGATTTAATCCAATCACAGCATGTATGAATAGTTTCTAAAACTGTGATCACATGTACTACTCTGGAGCACATGTAAATGTGTTAGAAACTGACATTAAATGGTGATATTTGTTGGTGGCGTTGAAGTGGTGACAAATTTTCTCAACAGGAAGGTTGTGTCATGGTTTCACTGTCATGCTGTCGATTTGAAGTTAAAATCGATAGTTGGGAGCAGTGGCTATTACAGGGCTGGTACTAATTTTTGACAGCAGTAATAGAAAAAGGCTGTGTAAGCTGAGAGTATTAATGGATCTATGCAATGCTATGGTAACAGGCGTAATGAGAAACTTGTTTTGATGCGCAATGATTTAAACCAAGAAAATCTATTTCTTCTATTTATAGATCTTGTTCTGCACACTAAATACGTTTAGAATAGACATGGAAAGGTTACTTGGAGGTCAAATTGGACTTGATGACTTTATTTTTGCACACACAAAAGGACAACGGAAAACTGTGAAAGTACTTAAAACAAGTCCAGCTTTGGGTCTTACGATAACAGATAATGGGGCAGGAAGTGCATTTATCAAGCGCATCAAAGAAGGAAGCATTGCAGATGAAGTGGCTCAGATTTGTGTTGGAGATCATATTGAAGCTATAAACAACACAGCTGTTATTGGTACAAGACACTATGATGTAGCACGGATGTTACGAGAGCTTCCAGTGGGAGAGCAAATCTCTTTTCAGTTAGTTGAACCAATGAGAGGCTTTGGTAAGTTCAACATCATTGGAGCTGGATGCTTCTTATTACTTTTATTTTTTGATGAATACAGGCTTTGACAAGTGAACATTTTCCACTCTAGAGTAACTCATGACCAATAGCAGACATCAATTTATTTTACTTGTATTTCCAGATTAATATAGTTTGGTAGAATGATAAATTCCTCATCATCATCAT